GACTCCTCTCCAAGCTAATGGTCACAAAAATTTATTCTTTTACGCAAGATATCGTTTAGCCACGCAGAGACTTTCTCTTCTTTTCGTTCTAATTCCTCTGCTTTTGAAAGTAGGTTTGGAATGTTATTTCATATATTGTTGTATGTCTTCCAATGCATAACCTTTACGTGTGCCATTTCTCCTGTGGAGACGCAGAGGATTTTGAGGCTCAAGCAGATCAATTATCGTTTGATGTACCACTTTCTCAGCTTCTCTCCGAAACAAAGCAACGCTAAAGGTGTGGTTAGATGCAAATCAAAACTCTTCCATCGCTGCGATTCATTCTTTTTCTGAGGACACAAAACTATAATTTCTTTCCAGAAATATAATATGCGTGGGTTTTGTTGCACAGACCATACACAAGGTTATGGTAGTGTTACGTTAATGGTTACGGGATGTTTGAGTTCTGAGACGGCAGTATTTTTACTGAAGTAGACCTCAGACAACGGTTGCCCGAATAGAACTGCCTTGTCTAACAATAGTGCAATTACTTGCTTGAGATTAAAATGCAAGCATATGAAAGAAAGTTGAAAGTGAACCGATGGTTTGAAACTGCATTTCACTTCAAATAATTGCTTTTGCAATCAAAAACTCTAAATTATTCTCATTTATATCAATGGCTCAAAACCAGCCAAAATCAATCGCGGTTGAGCCTTTAATTATGGTGAACATTTTAGCTTCTGCACTTTCAATTACTTAGGGTCAGTTCACTGGCTATATAAATATTTTACTTGGATATCAAAGTAACGATAATTCCTTGTTCGAAGGAGGTTATTCAGTTCATATTTCTTCTTCCGAAGAGATGGTAAACTCATTTCCATTGTCAGTGTTTTAAAAGCGCTACTTAATAATCGGCCAAATGTAGGTCATGAGAGATGGCGGTGAACGAGACTTAGTCGAATTTGCATCAATGTTTCTCAATCAACTCCCTTTTAATTACGTAAGTTGCAATAATTAGTCTACTTATCATCAACCTCGATCTTTATCAATTTGATGACTGTCAAGAATAATAAACTATAACCAAGTTCTAGCGTTAATCTATGATTTAGCGAGTTCCTCTAAGGAAGGTCAATTTATTGTATGTGTAATTAAAAAAAAAAAAATTTACTGTGGATACGAATTGCACCAGAAATCAAATTAAATTTCTGTGGTCTTTCACGATCTATTGTGATTTTCAATGGAGAAACCAAACATTATATATCCTAAAAAAGTCATTAAAACCGCCAAGAAAAGAAGCACTCAGTCATAGTATCCAGGTTTTCAAATGACGCAAAAGATTAACTTAATGCGTTTCGAGCTCGATTCGTTTTAGTCAGAGTAAAATATTGTGAGGGCTGGGGTAGGAAATCTGGAAAACAAAAAGCGAGCTGTGATTGGTGCATGATTTCCTTATCAGGTGGGAACGTCACACACCTACATAATAGTGGAAGAAATGGGCTTCCGATAAAATCGAAGCATTCTTAAGTGAGGGAGAGAGAGGGTGGCGTGTTTAGACCAAGGAGACTGGCTTTTACAATGCGTACAAGAGAAATGTTACTGTGTGCAGCGGGAAGTATATTCAATGACCTTTGCAAACGTATGTTTTCATTTTGTCTCTTATTTTTCATGGAGGTAATGGAACTTTCAGCCGCGGACACTGGACTTATAATTCTCATTGGACAAGTTGTCGACTCGTTGGCTTCAGTAATCTCTGGTTACCTCGGCGATATGGTTAAAGTACCCGTTCTTTCACAGAAAATTGGAATGCGAAAATCTTGGCATCTCCTGGCAACGGTATTTATGGGAATCGTAGTTCCTCTCTGCTTCAACCGTTGCATTCTCTGTAGTGGAAGTCATCAAACTTGGCTTCCCATCGTCTATTACAGTTTCTTATTTTCACTGTATAGCATGTGTTTCAGCGTGGTGGAGATAAATCACCTGGCTTTCATCACAACTTCAGCTGTGTCGGTTGAGGAACGAATAGATCTTAGCGCCACGAGGTTTGCTATTTTTAAAAGTATTATATTAAATTAAACTTAACTGCTCACCCATTTTGTTTGGCTCTTACCAAAGATCTACTGGAGGACAGACGCATAGTTTACGTCGCCATCCGCACAATTTTTGACGTCATATTTGATCTATAACAAAACGGAAGCACGTCATAATGTAATAATTTTGTTAATCAGATGATGACGCAAAGTTTTTGTTTCATAATCAAACTCTCCCAAAGTTACTATTCACTGCACCGCTAATGTAAGCGTAAGTCGGTTCGTAAAAGTCATGAGAAATAACACTAATTTAATGAAAAACCTTCTACCTATCTGTATGTCTGTCAGACCTCCAATTTAAGTGCTCACATATGTGAAATTAAGCTTCGTATATATTCATCAGTTTTTATCATACATTCAGCCGTTGATTGACCTTATTGGCCATAATGGACTGCAAATTTTATTCCCGTGTGAGTCTTCAAGTTTCGGGTCAGTTGCTCCAGTTATAACACCTCACGAAGTTTCAAGCAGCCAATTACGCAGGGATCTGTTTTTGAAGTTGCATTTAAGAACAGCATCAAGTTAACTTGTACATGATTCAAGATAATTATGTTGAATCTTTATCCAACTAATTTGCGAAGTTTTCATATGAACTGGTTGCGTCTACCTTCTGGTTAAAATGCGGAGAAGAGATTCGCTATTGTGCGCGGTAGGAAAGTTATTCAACGACCTCTGGCGGCAGCTTAATTTTTCATTTAAAAGTTTTCTTTCAAAGAATCCCGGCGGGCGAAAATCTTGGCACCTTTTGCGGATAACAGTTTTAATGAGCATTATCATTCCCTTTTTCTTTAACCGCTGTTTTCTTTGTAATAGAAATCATGATGGGTGGCTTTCAATTGTCTATTACATCTTCTTGATCTCGGTGTATAACATTTGTTTGAGTATTGTGGAGATAAATCACCTTTATTACAACTGTAACTGAATCCGTCGAGAATGTACAGCTCTTAGTGCCATGAGGTTTGCTTAAAAATACTATTTTTAAGACACATAGTTCAAACAGCAATCGTATTTGTTTTAAATATACTTGTATAAATCACTTGTATAACTTTATATAACTCAACTCAAGCACGGACACTCTGAGGCCATTTTTACCTAACTTATCCTGAATGATAAACGTGACATCTAAGAACAATTTTCCCTATTCTTTTCTTTTTCTTGTTCAAAAGGACAATGTTCAGCTTCCTTAGTGGTATTTACATATACGTGATCGCCTGGAGCCTTTTCGGACAAGACAATAGCGATACTCTGGGACCTCAGAGCCTTCCAGATTTTGTAGTAAGTAGCAGCTTCGTTAATAGTTCTATGCCACGATATGCTTTGACAAACAGGCGGAAACTCAATACGATGAACTAAAAAAATAAAGCAATTAAAAGAAGGTTGCAGCAATTTAGTTTTCTCTCCCTGCACTGCCTGTCAGCCTGTCAGCCTCCCTTCACACATCTCTGCTGGCATTAAAAATCTTTCTTTTGTGCTTAACATCCCAACTTTCAAGATCTGGTTGTTGTTGAGTTACTCGTCAAGCAAGGACAACACGTGTTTTTTATTACTTCATGTAAGCTATTCTTGTAAGCTAACAGTTCATGTAAGCTAACACAACAGTTGTCAATTCTCTCCTAGAGCTGCTTTGCATTTCCTTGTAAGTTAATTTTCAGAATTTAGTGTTAGATCAAGATTAAAAACTTCTATCTGATAGGTATGAGTATTTTCATCCGCTGTTGGATGGATAATGTATTTTTACTACAGAGAGAGGTTACAATTTAACCATTTCTGGGCGTTAAACAGTTAAGATGCTTGTCGGTTAATTCTTTCTAAACAGTACCTCTCGTGGATTGCTACTGGAACAGGACTCTTCTTTGCAGCCATCTTCCACATTGGTACAACGGAACCTCAAAAATGTTAGAGTAAAGAAAGCGCCACAACGGATCTTACGGTAATACAGGAAGTAAAAAAAGATATTTCCTTTTCAAATAATGGTCATACAAAAGCTTATTTTTGCGTTCGTAAAGCAGACAACATCTTAGAGCTAATAGCGGCGCGCACGTGCGATTGTTTCTTCGTTCTTTATTTGATTTATATACAACAGGTCTATTAATCTGAACGGGTCTTGAAGTTACATTGCGTGACCAGAGGGATAGAGGTATGGTCTACACATTATCTGAAGCAACCTGTAATTCACTCTGGCCACTTTCCCGTTATTTTGCAGAAAGCTCCTGGAAAATTCATTGAAGAGTCTGTACCCGAAAATGCAAGTAAGGCTATGGATATGTACTGAACGACAAAAATTGAAAAACGCAAAAACGTATTGTTGCCTCGGTATTTTTGAGAATCTATTAACCATGACTGTGTGCAGGCATACCACAAGTTTGATACAGGTGGTCCAATCTGGAGACATAATTTTGCTCGAAATGTTTAGACAACGTCCTCTTTAAAGCAAAATATCTAGTTCAGAAGTGCATGTCAACTGGAGATTAAGATTAGTGGTCACAGTAAGGATATCCAACCCTTAAGCTCTCTTCAGTTATTTCTAGACTGTATTCCGCTAACAGGCTAATTGTCGACTACATTAGTAGCTCGAGTTTTACTTCGAAGAACCAGCCAAGTAGATGGCAAGGATGGAGCAAAGAATTTCATCCGTCAACCCCGCCTTCAAGGATCGTCTTTTTAGACAACTTTACTGAAACTTTTTTCTCAGCGCAGCGCAAAACCTTTAGCTTAGCTTGGGTTACTCAGATTTTTCACTAACAAGTTCCAACGGGAAAAGAAGTATAACAAAAACTAAACGAGAAGAAGTCCAGATATCCCGTGTTCTAAAAGTATTATTTGAGATCATTTTGAGACAAAGAATTTAAACATGTTCCTGAAATTGACACGATTTAGTTCCACCGTTGAACCCTGACACAGACGCTCGTTAATTGCTTGTTTTGTTTTTTTGCTCAAGATTCTAGACGGACCAGTCTTGCTTTTAAGTTTATTAACATGGTTATGGCTTCAACTGAACATGAAGAACATCAAAGTGAGATGGACGGATGTGGAGAAACCAAAAGCCATGAATTGCGTGTCAGAAAGCGAAGTCTTCTGCAGAAGTTTGTTGTTGCTATGTTTGCTGAGGGGAAAACTGATCTAGAAGTACAGCTTCTTGATCGTGAACACAAGAAGAGTCCACTAACGCTTGATTTTGACGACATCCTGTTGAGATTACAACACCAAAAGCAGAAACAACCAACATGTTTTGGTGTCATGGAAAACCAAGTTACAATAGACGGTAAAGCCGACGATCATGCAACTGGTGAAGAGTTGTGGAACGCTAGAAAAGAAGAGATCAAAAACACTACTGAAAAAGATATGTGGGAAATGACCAACAGCGCGGGCTCTAAAACATCTTTTTGTACCGTATTTAAGCAAAGAAAACATGGAATGGTGCTTTTTCCGGATGATGGTAAATTTGGTCTCTCTAACTCCGGATTTGAAGATGATGGAGATGATGATGATAAGAAGGAAAGCCTTTGCGTTACATCAGTTAGGAAGCAAAAAAAATCTGTGACTTTCGATCCTTCTGGACTTCTTGAAATGCTGTTAATGAACGGAACAGAACGACAGGGATTAAATCTCGATCACACGCCTGACAACAAAACGAGTCCGAATGAAAGTATTCCAAAACAACACGGCGGAAAAATCGAAAGAATAGAAGATTCCAATACCACAGATAATTCACTAACTTCAGCGGATAACCCTGATCTTCATGGTCTCCCTGTTCAATCGACAAGTTCTACATCTGAGGGAAGACGTCCAAAAGGAATCAAACACTGGCTAAAAGATCCAAACGTGTACATGGTAAACCCTCCCGTTTCCAACTATCCTTGTTTCTTGATTTGGTTGACACTCTGTGATGTTTTTCTCCTGCTTCAATTTTCAGATAGCCATTATCTTTACATGTACATGCCTTGCGCAGGACTCTGTGTACAGCTATTTACCGCTATTCCTCACAGAGAGATTATCATTCCCCAAGGTATAGTTCAATCTGATGTGCTCAGTTGTTTTCAAACTCATTAATAATTATAATAGTCTCATCGTGTTTTTATCCTGAATCAGGCAGCTACCGCTTATTTTCCACTCGTCCTCCTAACCAGTGGCTCTTTAGCGAGTTCAGCCTGTAAGAAACTGAAAAGGAAAATTGGAAGTAAGGTAAGATCAGATTAACAGCTTCTTCTAGCTGGTCACTCCACGTTTGTGATAGTGGAAATGCATTGATTGCGCCAAACGTCAGCTTGTTTACTTGTTGATGATGAGTGGCTGAGAGGGTCAATAAATCAACGATCATCTTAATGACTTTATTTAACTTAACTCGACAAATGAACCATCTTTTCTCAAGTTACGATAGTTAGAAGTTCGATTCCTCAAAGGATTCTCAGATCTTTTCTTTGTGTCTTGCTTGTTACAGAACCAAGAACAACTTTATTTGTTAAATTAGTTTTACTAACTTTCATACTTTCATTGATATGCACATCTAGTGGAGCTACCTTCTGGCAAGCTTATTAGTGATGGGTGGCGCTGTTTGGAGCTATTTTCAAACTTTCTCCACCAGACAATCAACTTATGCACCAGTGGTTATGATAGGAAGTGGTCTGTCCATTATGTACGTCATGGCACTGGTCTTCATCACCGAGCTGATCGGGGAAAATAAGGTTAGTACTTTGAAACAAGTTTGAATGGTTTCGAAGAAAGAGCAAGTCGCAGACTCTGATCAGTTCAGTTATAGTGCATTTCCAACCAGCCATTTTTGAATTTGAAATGACATGGAATTTCTTTTGTATGTCGCAAAACAAAATCCAAACTAGTCCCAACTCTTTGTCAGAACGAAATAAACTCTTACAAGCAGCTATTGAGAATTTAAAGTAGATACAGTATGATCGCCTGAAGTTTGGTAAAATTTCGAGTTACATCTGATCAGTTGAGAGACTATTGCAAGTTTTCAAGGCCAATCACAGAGGGTAATGAAAAAGAACCGTTTCATTCGCGGACTAGTTCCGAAACCCATGATCAGGGTGAATATTTTTCCACAGTGCTCTCTATAAATTTACCGTGAAACTAACAAGGAGAATTTTTCTAACATTCAAGACCTTTATTTTGATTGGCGATCATTTACCTTTTTCTCTCTTGACGTAAATTTTTAATTCAGCATTGACACTGTGAGGAGAAGTTAAAGACCTGTTCGTCTTATTGAGTAAAGAATCAAAATATACGTAAATGTTAGTACTAATGATGGTTTCTCATCTGAGACCAATGAGTTAATACGGTGATTTCCTGTCAGGAAACCAGTGGATCAGTGTTTTCCATTATCACCGTAATCGCCAGAATCTCAAGCGGTGCACTTATCATTGGTATACAGGAATTTTATCCGGAAGAAAGGTTGGTCTATCAAATCTTTATTGTAATTTACCCTAGAAGGAACAAGAAACATGCTATATAAAACGTTTAGATGACTAGCCGATTTGTTAAAACTCGAAAAGTACATTCAACATGTTTGTCTTTACTAGCTTGACCAGGCCATCCTTGACAATTTGAAATTTTAACAACAGTTTTAAAGTTATGCACGATTTAGTAAACTCCTCAATTCCTTTATTTAATTTAGAACCAGCTCAAATGAAGCGGTTAACAACTACGTACGGCATGTGTTTGTAATGGCGCCTGGAGTATTAACTCTGGTGGGATTCTTGCTGGTTTTGTTTTTCCAACCATCTAACTTTATCTGCAAAAGTAAAGGTAAGTACATTGTCAAGCTGTTAGACGTCTATAACTTGGGTAACGTATGGAGAATAACTGCAAATACTCTGAATTACCCTCTGACGCAATGGTATCAAGCGTTCCTTTGTTGAAATTAGTAATCTTATTAAATGACACAAGCCTGTGTAAATGCAGTTACCTCGTGATGGTTGTGTGTCTATGTAGTACTGCCGGTTTTATACTTAGAGCTTCAGGTTTGTTAGTCAGTATTACACGTGGTTGTCTTTGCTGTCAACGAACTTCTTCTGTAAATTTATTCCTCTAGTTTCAGAAGATGTTGAGGCTCTACACGGCCAATCGTCGTTTGATGTTCAAGTTAACCAATGTCCATCGGGAGTCAAAGCAACGTAAAACCACAGCCTGGATGATAGTCACAATACCCTCACCGTGGTGGTGGATTCTTGTTCTGAGGACTCAAAACTTTGAATTCTTTGAAAATTGCATTATGTGTAGAGGCTTCGTCGACCTACTAAAAGGTCATTGCATAGACACGCCCATGATTTGGGCCTATACGATTTAACTGCTGATTGTTTCATTTTAAACAGTCAAGTTAAAATCAAAGAGATTGTATAGTTAGTTTCTGTCTATTCTTGTTTAGATTTTTGGAAAAGTTCGTCACATGAAAAGTTTTGCGATCGCAGAATTCCGTAAAATTAAAGGAGACAAGTCGTAACAACTTCACCAAGATGAACAAGAGTCTACTTTTCCTAAATTTTTAGATAAATATTGATCTTGCATGTTTAATAATAATAGTAGGATAGTATGTTAATTGAAAATAAGTCTATCAATGTTCAAAATTGTTTATATCTTCTTGTTTTCTATTGATAGCTCAAAGTTTTCCTCGAACTTCGCGCTCAGAAAACTGTTCACATCTCGGAACAAATAATGTGAACCGTTTAGATCAATGGCGGACAATGCAAGCAGAATTTTTTATAGATTATAGCTACATGTATTATGACATTTTTGGTTTTGAATAACTAGTATGATTATGTTCGCAGTCCTAATTATGCCTGAAACTAATTGTCAACCATGAGAAAATGAGGCGAGGAGAGGAGGACAGGGAGGGTAGGAAGCGAGGGCAGGGAGGGCAGGGAGAGAAGGGAGGGTAAAAGGAAGGGAAGGGGGGGAAAGATTCCTTTTTCAGGCTTCGAAATAAGGTTGTTTAGAGTAAATATCTACACCAGCATTTTCCCTACCTAAAAATGTAAGAAGAACAAGATGACATGTAAACTGACGAATATTTAATTAAGACTTGAGTGAAAAATAAAAGTTAACCGTGGAAATACTAAGTCAATTGCAGACTTAAATGTAAAAAACATATAACAGTTAACACCCTCTGATCGTACTCAGCTTGTTCCTTTCTCTTCATTTGTGGTTAAAGTGTTTTAAAATTCAATTTCTTACGTTAGGGTAAAAAGTTCACCACGAGGGTCACGCTCAATTAGCTACTTTACTCGTGAAATTGCGTGACAACACGTGTTCAATAAACAAAGTCACTATCAAACAATGCTGACATCGACCATTGAAACATTTGATACCTAAATCGTGTGCTTATCGTCAAATGACACTCCAGCCCATGTAACTTACTCTACCTCCGCATGTTTTGATGATAAACAGGAAAATTACACTCAGGGTTGTTTGAAAGGACGACTGTCTGTGAAGAAGGCTGGATGACAGCTGGAGGGACCTTCCTTACAATTGAGTTACAATTAAGGGTAGGGCGTTTCTTTTAACACTGAAAATAAAGAGAATCATTGCGATACTTCATTTGGACGTCCTCAGTTTTCAACAGGATAAGACAATCTTAGGTATGTGTTTCCATTCGCTCTGACGGAGGGCTAACACTCGAAACGTCAGCTTTGAAACTCTCTAACGTGTCCAGTTTACATTATCAATTCAGTTATAAGTAAAACCAAGTAATATATATAAATTTCCTTATCATTATGGTGCACAACACGCGGTACAAAGAAATTTGATAAAATATCGTTACAAACGGCCGTAAGAGACAAGGCAGAAATCTAATAAAGGTAAGAAGATTCAACATGCTATATTTCTCTTGCTTATCAAGTTTGTCAGCTTTGAAACTCTCTAACGTGGCCAATTTACATTATCGACTCAGTTATAAATAAAAACAAGTAATATATGTGAACATACGTCTTTGTTTGTTCCAGGTGAACGAACCTGAGAGAGCTTCAAGCTAGCTAATTTGAGCATGCGAAGTAAGAGTACGGCCGAGTACGATTCGCTCCGACAAATGGTTAACTCTCGAAACGTCAGCTTTGAAACTCTCTAACGTGGCCAATTTACATTATCAACTCAGTAGATAAAACCAAATTATCTCAACATACGTGCTTGTTTGTTTGTTCCAGGTGATTGAACCTGACAGAGCTTCAAGCTAGCTAATTTGAGCATGCGTAGTGAGAGTTATGCCGAGTGCGATTCGCTCTGACGAAGGGTCAACACTCGAAACGTCAGCTTTGAAACTCTCTACCGTGGTCAACTTACATTATTATCTCAGTCATAAATAAATCTACATTATCTTAACGTACGTGCTTGTTTGTTCCTTCCGGGTGATCAAACCTGACAGAGCTTGAGGCTCGCTAATTTGAGCATGTGTGGTAAGAGTACGGCTGAGGACGAATGAAGGAATCAGGGTCTTTTGTCTCCCATGGTTTTCCATTTTCTCCTTTGTTGAAACGTTTCGATTATATGGTTGAGCGGTATCAAATTTAGTGGCAAGAAAAATGGGTTGCTTTCTCTTTTAATGTACGTGGACATTAAAAGCACCGCAAAAATTCAAGAATTTTCCAACTTGTTGACCTAGCTAGTTATGAGTCAAGGAGTGTCTGGTTGTTCCAATTAACCATACCTGACTGGGTTTCAGAGAGCCTAATTGCCTAGTTGCCTAGTCCCCCAAGCCTAATTGACTTGACTGAGTAAATCTGTCAGACTGAATATGTTCATGAATGCGTTTACACTGGACAGGATACGTGACCCAAGTAAAGAAAATCTGCCAAAACTTACAGTCAACTTACAGCTCAATTACTAAAAAAAAACATATACTTTCCGAAATTTCTTATTTGTTACAACACTGGTACATCGCATAGATAGCTTGGAAAGTTATCTTGCCTTAGCAATCTTTCGAGTGCGGGCCACTGAAAAGACACTTTTCAAACGAGCTTTCGTTATTACGGTCAATTTACCTGGCGCTCTTTTTTCTAGAGAGATTTCTGGAATGATTTCGCTTAAAGATCTCGAACCGTATTTCAAGGGTCCAAATTTTGTGAACCAGCAGACAGAGTATGCAGAATAAATGTGCATATTATATTCACTTTGAAAATCCCTGGTGATTCCTGCAGTCTGAGTGGGGTCACGAGTCGCACCATTTCTTTTCTCTAAATCGCATGTATTTCCTAGCCAATGCAAAATAAACACTAAAACAAAAGAATCAATCGAAATTTCCCCTTTTTTTCCATAATAGAACAGCACTCTGTAAATGACTCAAGCAGATCAATTATTGTTTGATGTTCCACTTACTCAGCTTCTCTCCGACACAAAGCAACGCTAGAGGTGTGATTAGGTGCAAACCAAAACTCTTCCGTCGTTGCGGTACATTCTTTTTCTGATGACAAAAAACTATTCCAATCATTTCTTTTCAGAAATATAATATGCGTGGGTTTTGTGGCATAAACCATACACAAGGTTATGGTACAGTTACGTTGATGGTTACGGGATGTTTTAGTTCTGAGACGGCAGTATTTTTACTGATGGAAAGCTCAGACAATGGTTGCTCGAATAGAACTACCTTGTCTAACAATTGTCTTTCAAGAAAGACACAGTGCAATTGGTTGCTTGAGATTAAATTGCCAGCATATGAAAGAAAGTTGAAAGTGAACAGATAGATTGAAACTGCATTTCACTTCAAATAATTGCTTTTGCAATCTACAACTCTAAATTATTCTAATTTGGATCAATGACTTAAAACAAGCCAACATCAGTCGCGTTTGAGCCTGTAATTATGGTGAACATTTTAGTTTCTACACTTTCAATTAAGTAGGGTCGGTTCATTGGCCATATAAACATGTTACTTGGATATCCAATTAACGATGACTCCTTGTTCGAAGGAGGTTAATGTTTCTCAATCAACTTCCTGTTAATTATGGAAATTGCAATAAGTAGTCTATTTATCATCAACCTTGATCTTTATCAATTTGATGACTCTCAAGAGTATTAGGCTATAGCCAAGAATAATACGCTATAGCCAAGTTCTAGGGTCAATCTATGGTTTAGCGAATTCCTCTAAGCAAGATCAATTTATGGTGTGTGTAATAAGAACAAAACAATTTACTGTGGATACGAATTGCACCAGACATCAAATTAAATTTTTGTGGTCTTTCACAATCTACAATGATTTTCAACGGAGAAACCAAACATTATCTATCTTAAAAGAATCAGTAAAACTGCAAAGAAAAATAGCACTCAGTTATAGTATCTACAAGTTTTCAAACGACGCAAAAGATTAGCTTAATGCGTTTCGAGTGAGGGCTGGGGCAGGAAACCTCACTAAGACTATGTTGATATGATTGGCTCTCTGGAAAAGAAAAAGCGAGCTGTATTTAGTGCATGATTTCCTTGTCAAGTGGGAAGGTCACACACCCATATAAATGTGGAAGAAACAAGCTTCCCATAAAATCGAAACATTCATAATTGGGGAAGAGAGAGAATGGCGTGTTCAGATCAAGGAGACTCATTTTTACGATGCGTACAAGAGAAATGTTACTGTGTGCAGCGGGAAGTATCGCGTTTCAGCCTGTAGTTATGGTGACCATTTTAGTTTTGGCACTTCCAATTACGTAGGGTTAGTTCACTGCCTATATAAACATGTTACTTGGATATCCAGGTAACGATGACTCCTTGTTCGAAGGAGGTTATTCAGTTCATATTTCTTCTTCCAAAGAGATGGTAAACTCATTTCCAATGTCAATGATTTAAAAGCACTACTTAAAATCGGCCAAATGTAGGTCATGGGAGGTGGCCTTGAACGAGACTCTCAATCAACGTCCTTTCAATCATGGAAATTTCAATAATTAGTCTACTTATCATCAATCATCAGTTTTTCTTGGCAGTTATACTGACCCTTCGTCACACACCCATATAAAAGTGGAAGAAATGAGCTTCCCATAGAATCGAAGCATTCTTAAGTGAGGGAGAGAGAGTGGCGTGTCCAGACCAAGGAGACTCGATTTTACAATGCGTACAAGAGAAATGTTACTGTGTGCAGCGGGAAGTATATTCAATGACCTTTGCAAGTGGATGTTTTCATTTTCTCTTCTGTTTTTCATGGAGGTAGTGGAACTTTCAGCTGCAGACACTGGACTTATTATACTCATTGGACAAATTGTCGACGCGTTGACTTCAGTAATCTCTGGTTACCTCGGCGATATGGTTAAAGTACCCGTTCTTTCACGGAAAATTGGAATGCGAAAATCTTGGCATCTCATAGCAACGGTTTTTATGGGCATCGTAGTTCCTCTCTGCTTCAACCGTTGCATTCTCTGTAGTGGAAGTCATCAAACTTGGCTTCCCACCGTCTATTACGGTTTCTTGTACTCACTGTATAACATGTGTTTCAGCGTGGTGGAGATAAATCACCTGGCTTTCATCACAACTTCAGCTGTGTCGGTTGAAGAACTAACAGATCTCAGCGCCATCAGGTTTGCTATTTTGAAAAGTATCATATTAAATTAAAGTAAACTGTTCACCCATTTTGTTTGGCTCTTACCAAAGATGTACTGGAGGACAGACGCATAGTTTAGGTCGCCATCCGCACAATTTTGCGTTTTTAACACCTAAAACAAACAGATTACATGTTGACGTGATCAAGATCACATAATATGTCAAAATGTGGTAAGAACATCAATTATACACCCGGCTGCGCAACTCTCTTGAAGTTACTTTTCATTGCAACGCTAATGTAAGCGTAAATCGGTTGACTTAAGTACCATTGCCTCTTGCTTCGTAAAAGTCATAAGAAATAACAATTATTTAATGAAAAACCTTCTACCTATGCGTAAGTCTGCTCAGACCTCCATTTTAATTGCTCACACACATGTGAAATTAAGTTTCGTACAGATTCATCAGTTTTTATAACACATTCAGCCGTTGACTGACTTTACTGGCCATAATGGACTGCAACTTGTATTCCTGTGTGAGGCTTCAGGTTTCGTGTCAGTTGCTTCAATTCTAAGACCCTATGAAGTTTCAAGCAGTCAATTACGCAGGGATTTACTTTTGAGGTTGCATTTAATTAAGCACAGCATCAAGTTAACTTGTACATGATTCAAGATAATTATGTTGAATCTTTATCCAACTAATTTGCGAATTTTTCATAAAGACTGGTTGCGTCTACTTTCTGGTTAAAATGCAGACAAGAGAACAGTTATTTTGCGCGGCAGCTTAATTTTTCAGTTAAAATTTTTCTTTCAAAGAATCCCGGCGGGCGAAAATCTGCACCTTTTGATAACAGTTTTAATGAGAATTATCATTCCTTTTTTCTTTCTTTTGTAATAGAAATCATAGTGGGTGGCTTCCAATCGTCTATTACATCTTCTTGATCTCGGTGTGCAACATTTGTTTGAGCACTGATGAGATAAATTATCTTTATTACAACTGTAACTGAATCCGTCGAGAATGTATATTAGTGCCATGAAGTTTGCTTCAAGATCCTTTTTTTAAGACACATAGCTCATACGGCAATCATAACTCAACTCAAGCACGGACACTCTGAGAACGGTTATCTAAGAACAATTTTCCTTTTTCTCTCTTTCTTGTTCAAAAGGACAATGTTCAGCTTCCTTAGTGGTATTTACATATACGTGATCGCCTGGGGCCTTTTCGGACAAGACAATAGCGATACTCTTGGACCCCAGAGCCTTCTAGATTTTGTGGTAAGCAACAGCTTCGTTGATAGTTCTATTCTACGATATGCTTTGACCAACAGGCGGAAGCTCAATACAATAAAATTAAAAAAAGAAAAAAAACGCAATTAAAAAACGGGTTGGAGAAATTTGGTTTTCTCTTCCTGCACTGCCTGTCAGCCTTTTAGCCTCCTTCCACACATCTCTGCAGGCATTAAAAATCTTTTTTTTGTCCTTAACCTTGCAACTTTCAAGAGCTGACTGTCAATTCTCGCCTGGAGCTGCTTTGCATTCCCTTGTAAATTAATTTTCAGAATTTAGTGTTAGATCAAGATAAAAACTTCTTTCTGATAGGTATGAGTATTCTCATCAGCTGAAGAATGTATGTTTACTACGGGGAGAGGTTACAAGTTAATCATTTCTGGGAGTTAAAGGGTTAAAATCCTAGTTGATTAATTCTTTTCTAAACAGTACCTCTCGTGGATTGCTACTGGAACAGGAATCTTCTTTGCAGTCATCTTCCACATTGGTACAAAGGAACCTCAAATATGTCAGAGTAAAGAAAGCGCCACAACGGATCTTACGGTAAGACAGGAAGCAAAAAAGATATTTCCTTTTCAAATATAGGTCATGCAAAAGCTTATTTTTGTGTTAGGAGAGCAGACAACACCATGGAACTAATAGAGGCGCGCTTGCGCGATTGTTTCTTCGTTCTTCATTTGATTTATTTACAAGAGGTCTATTAATCTGAACGGATCTTGAAGTTACATAGCGTGACCAGAGGGGTAGAGGTATGGTCTACACATTATTTAAAGCAATCCGTAATTCACTCTGGCCACTTTCCCGTTATTTTGCAGAAAGCTCCTGGAAAATTCATTGAAGAGTTTGGACCCGAAAATGCAAGTATGTCTATGGATATGTACTTTGGTGTGTTATTTTAAAAGCCGTCTTTGTTTCTATTAAAATTGCAGATGTAACGTCCTCTCCGACATCAAACTGAACTACAAAAATGAAAAACGGTACTCATCTTTATCTCAAGGGGGATAGGTCTTCTTTTTGCATGGAGCTCCTTAATATCTAGGGTATTGTTGCCTCGATATTTTTGAGAATCTATTAGCCATGACTGTGTGCAGACATGCCACAAGTTTGATACAGGTGGTCCTATCTAGAGACAGCACCAATTTGGCTTGAAATGTTTAGACAACGTCCTCTTTAAAGCAAAATATCTAGTTCAGGAGTGCACGTCAATTGGAGATTAAGATTAGTGATTAGAAGATTAGACGTTCGTTAATTGCTTGTTTTGTTTTTTTCTCAAGATTCTAGACGGACCAGTCTTGCTTTTAAGTTTACTGACATGGTTATGACTCCAACTGAATATGAAGAACATCAAAGTGAGATGAACGGATGTGGAGAAACCAAAAGCGGTGAAGTGCGTATCAGAAAACGAAGTCTTCTGCAGAAGGTTGCTGTTGCTATGTTTGATGACGGTAAAACTGATCTAGAAGTACAACATCTTGATAGTGAACGCAAGAAGAGTCTACTAACGCTTGATTTTGACGACATCCTATTGAGATTACAACACGAAGAGCACAAACATCCAACATGTGTTGGTGCCATGGAAAACCAAGTTTCAATGGACGGTATAGACCGCGATCATGCAACTGATGAAGAGCCGTGGAACGCCAGGCAAGAAGAGATCAAAAACACTACTGATGAAGATATGTGGAAAATGACCAACAGCGCGGCCCCCAAGACATCTTTTTGTACCGTATTTAGGCAAAGAAAACATGGAATGGTGGTTTTTCCGGATGATTGTAAATTTGGTCTCTCTAACTCTGGATTTGAAGATGATGGAGGTGATGATGATAAGAAGGAAAGCCTTTGCGGTACATCAGTTAGGAAGCAAAGAAAGTCTGTGACTTTCGATCCTTCTGGATTTCTGGAAATGCCGTCAATGAACGGAACAGAACGACAGGGGTTAAATCTCGATCACACGTCTAACAACAAAACGATTCTGGATGAAAGTACGCAAGATTTTCCAAAACAGCACGTCAGAAAAATCGAAAGAATAGAAGGTTGCGATGGCACAGATAATTCGTTAACTTCAGCGGATAACCCTGATCTTCATGGTCTCCCTGTTCAATCGACAAGTTCTACATCTGAGGGAAGACGTCCAAAAGGAATCAAAAACTGGCTAAAAGATCCAAACGTGTACATGGTAAACCCTCGTGTTTCCAAGTATCCTTGTTTGTTGATTAAGTTGACTCTCTGTGATGTTTTCCTCGTGTTTTAATTTTCAGGTAGCCATTATCTCAACATGTACACGCCTTGCGCAGGACTCTGTATACAGATATTTACCGCTATTCCTCACAGAGAGATTATCATTCCCCAAGGTATAGTTCAATTTGAAGTGCTCAGTTGTTTTCAAACTTATTGATAATTATATTAATCTCATGGTATTTTTGTCCTGAATCAGGCAGCTACCGCTTATTTTCCACTCGTCCTCCTAACCAGTGGCTCTCTAGCAAGTTCAATGTGTAAGAAATTGAAAAGGAAAATTGAAAGTAAGGTAAGACCTAGATTAACAGGTTCTTCTAGTTGGTCACTCCACGTCTGTGATAGTGGAGATACATTGATTGCACCAAACGTCGGCTTATCTACTTGTTGATGATAATGATTGACTGAGAGGGGCAGGCAATAAATCAACGATCATCTCGATGGCTCTATTGAACTTAACTCGACAAATGAACTACTTTTTCTCAAGTTACGATAGTCAGGAGTTCGATTCCTCAAATGATTCTCAGATATTTTCTTTGCGTCTTGCTTATTACAGAACCCAGAACAAATTCATTTGTTTAATTAGTCTTAGTAACTTTCATACTTTCGTTGATATGCACATCATAGCGGAGCTACCTTCTGGCAAGCTTATTAGTGATGGGTGGCGCTGTTTGGAGCTATTTTCAAACCTTCTCCACCAGACAATCAACTTATGCACCAGTGGTTATGATGGGAAGTGGTCTGTCCATTATGTACGTCATGGCACTGGTCTTCATCACCGAGGTGATCGGGGAAAATAGGGTTAGTGTTTTGAAACAAGTTTGAATGCTTTCGAGGAAAGGCTAAGTCGCAAAATCTGATCAGTTCAGTTATAGTACATTTCTAGCATTTTTGAAATTGAAATGGCATGAAAGTTCTTTTGAATGTCGCAAAAAAAAATTCCAAACTAATCACAACTCTGTCAGAACGAAATAAAATCTCACAAGCAGCTACTGAGAATTTAAAGTGAAATACAGTTAGACTGCCTGAGGTTTGGGAAATTTTGAGTTACATCTGATCGGTTGAGAGATTGTTGCAAGTTTTTAAGGCCAATCACAGAGGGTAATGAAAAAGAACTGTTTCATTCGCGGACTGGTTTCGAAACTTGATTAAACCCATGATCAGTGTGCATATTTTTTAGAGTGCTCTCTATAAATTTACCATGATACTAATAAGGAGAACTTTTCTAACGATCAAGACCTTTATTTTGATTGGCCATCATTTGCCTTTTTCTCTCTTGACGTACATGTTTGATTCAGTAGTGACAGTGTGAGGAGAAACTAAAGACCTGTTGGTCTTAGGGGTAAGGAGTTAAAAATTATGTTAATAATAGTACTAATGTTGGTTTCCCATATGAGATCAATGATTTAATACGGTGATTTCCTGTCAGGAAACCAGTGGATCAGTGTTTTCTATTATCATTGTACTCGCCAGAATCTCAAGCGGTGTACTTATCATTGGTATACAGGAATTTTATCCAGAAGAAAGGTTGGTCTATCAAATCTTTATTGTAATTTACCCTAGAAGGAACGTTTAGATAACCAGCCGATTTGTTAAAACTCGAAACGTATATTCAGGAGGTTTGTCTTTACCAGCTTGACCAGGCCATCCTTGACTATTTGAAATAGTAATGACTGTTTTAAAATTATGCACGATTTAGTAAACTCCTCAATTCCTTTATTCAATTTAGAACCAGCTCAAATGAGGCGGTTAGCAACTACTTACGGCATGTGTTTGTAATGGCGCCTGGAGTGTTAACTCTGGTGGGATTCTTGCTGGTTTTGTTTTTCCAACCATCTAACTTTATCTGCAAAAGTAAAGGTAAGTACATTTTCAAGCTGTTAGACGTCTATAACTTGGGTAACGTATGGAGAATAACTGCAAATACTCTGAATTACCCTCTGACGCAATGGTGTTAAGCGTTCTTTTGTGTAAACTAGTTATCTTACCAAAAAATACAAGCCTGTGTAAATGCATTTACCTCGTGATGGGTGTGCGTCTATGTAGTAGTGCCACGCTCAGTTAATAAGACGGTGTTAAACTTAGAGCTTCAGGTTTGTTAGTCAGTATTACACGTGGTTGTCTTTTTTGTCAATGAAAACTTCTTCTGTCAATTTTTTCTTCTAGTTTCAGAAGATGTTGAGGCCCTACAAGGCCAATCGTCGTTTGATATTCAAGTTAACCAATGTCCATCGGGAGTCATAGCAACGTCAAACCACAACTTGGATGATAGTCACAATGCCTCCATCGTGGTGGTGGATTCTTGTTCTGAGGACTCAAAACTTTGAATTCTTTGAAAATTGCATTATGTGTAGAGGTTCTGTCGACCCACTAAAAGGTCATTGCACAGACACGCCCACGGTTTCGGCCTATACGACTCATAACTGTTTCATTTTAAGAGATTGTGAAGTTCATTTCCATCTGTTCTTGTTTAGATTTTAGGAAAAACTTTCTCATGAAAAGTTTTGCGATCGTAGAATTCCGTAAAATAAAAGGAGATAAGTCGTAATAACTTCTCGCACCGAGATGAACAAGAGTCCGCTTATCCAAAATTTTAGATAAATAGTGATCTTTTATGTTTAGTAATAATAATAGTGTATTATCTTAATTGAAAATGAGTCTATCTATTTTCAATATTTTTCAGATTTTCTTCTTTTCTATTGATAACTCAAATTTTGCTTGGAAAACTGTTCACATCTCGGAACAAATAATGTGAACCGTTTAGATCAATCGCTGACAAGCAAAAGATTTCATAGACTATAGCTTCGTGTATTACGACATTCTTGGTTTTGAAGAACTATTGTGGTCATCTTCGCAGTCTTAATTATGTCTGAAACTAATTTTCAACCACTAGAAAATGAGGCGAAGGACAGGAGGGTAGGGAAGGTAGGGAGGGAAGGGAGGGCAGGGAGGGCAGGGAGGGTAGGGAGGGGAGGGAGGGAGGGAGGGTAGGGAGGGCAGGGAGGGTAGGGAGGGTAGGGAGGGTAGGGAGGGTAGGGAGAGGAGGGAGGACAAGGAGGGTGAAGGGAAGAGAGAGGAAGGCTCCTTGTTCAGGCTCCTAAATAAGGTTGTTTAGAGTCAATATCTAGACCAGCGTATTCCTTACCTGAAAAGTGTAACAAGAATAAGATGGAAAAATAAACTGTCCTTAATTAAGATTTAAGTGAAAAGTAAAAGTTAACCGTAGAAATACTAAGTCCATTGCAGACTGAAAAGTAAGAAAAAATATTACAGTTAACAACCTCTGATCGTACCCAGCTTGTTCCTTTCTCCTTATTCGTGGTTAAAGTGTTTGAAATTCAATTTCTTGCGTTAGGGTAAAAAGTTTCTTTAGTCAGTTTTTTAATTGAAACATCAGACTTCAAACGAAGACAGGTTGTTACTATTGGTGTTGGTTATTATTCAGCCGGTGTTCACCAAAAGGGTCACGCTAAATTAACTAATTTACACGTGAAATTGCCTGGCAACATGCGTTCAGTGAACAAAAAGTCACTATCCAACAATGCTGACATCGACCATTGAAAAATTTGATACCTAAATCGTGTGCTTATCGTGAAATAACACTCAAGCCCATTTAACTTACTCTACCTCCGCATCTTTTGATGATAAACAGGAAAATTATATTCAAGGATCTTTAAAAGGACGACTGTCTATGAAGAAGGCTGAAAGGTAGCTGGAGAGACCCTCCTGACAATTAAGGGTAGTGCGTTCCTTATAACACTAAAAAAAACACAATCATTGCGATACTTCATTTGGTAAGTCCTTAGTTTTCAACAGGATAACACATTCATAGATACGTGTTTCCATTCGCTCTAAAGAAGGGCTAACACTTATAACGTCAGCTTTGAAACTCTCTAACGTGGCCAATTTACATTATTAACTCAGTTATAAATAAAAGCAAGTAATATATGTGAACATACGTGTTTGTTTGTTCCAGGTGAACGAACCTGAGAGAGCTTCAAGCTAGCTGATTTGAACATGCGTAGTAAGAATACGGCAGAGTACGATTCGCTTTTACGAAGGGTTAACACTCGAAACGTCAGCTTTGAAACTCTCTAATGTGGCCAGTTTACATTATCAACTCAGTTATAGATAAAAGCAAATTATCTTAACATACGTTTTTGTTTGTTCCAGGTGAACGAACCTGAGAGAGCTTCAAGCTAGCTGATTTGAACATGTGTAGTAAGAGTACGGCAGAGTACGGTTCGCTTTGACGAAGGGTTAACACTCGAAACGTCAGCTTTGAAACTCTCTAATGTGGCCAGTTTACATTATCAACTCAGTTATAGATAAAAGCAAATTATCTTAACATACGTGCTTGTTTGTTTGCTCCAGGTGATCGAACCCGACAGAGCTTCAAGCTAGCTAGTTTGAACATGCGTAGTAAGAGTGCGGCCAAGTGCGAATGAGAGAGTCTGGGCCTTTTATCTCCGATGGTTTTCCACTTTTTTCCTCTGTTGAAACGTTTCGATTCTATGGCTGAGTGGTATCAAAATTAGGCGCAAGAAAAATGGGTTGCTTTCTCTTTTAATGTACGTAGACATTAAAAACGCCGCAAAAATTCAAGAACTTTCCAACTTGTTGACCTTCCCAGCTAAGAAGTGTCTGGTTGTTCCAATTCACCATACCTGACTGGGTTTCAGAGAGCCTAATTGCCTAGTTGCCTAGTTCCTCAAGCCTAATTGACTTGATTGAATTAATCTGTCTGACTGAATATGTTCATGAATGCGTTTACACAGGACAGGATACGTGACCCAAGGAAAGAAAATCTGCTAAAACTTACAGTAAACTTATAGCTCAATTACTGGACACAAACATACTTTCCGACATTTCTTATTTGTTATAACACTGGTACATTTCACAGATAGCTCGGAAAGTTGTCTTGCCTAAGCAATCTTTCGAGTGCAGGCCACTGAAAAGACACTTTTCAAACGAGCTTTCGTTTTAACGGTCAATTTACATGGCGCTCTTTTTTCTAGAGAGATTTCTAGAGTGATTTCGCTTGAAGATCTCGAACCGTATTTCAAGGGTCCAAATATTGTCAACCAGCAGACAGAGTATGCAGAATAAATGCGCATATTACATTCACTTCGAAAATCCCTGATGATTCCTGCAGTCTGACTGGGGTCACGAATCGCACCATTTTTTTACTCTTAATCACATCCATTTCCTACATAATGCAAAGTAAACACTAAAACAAAATAATCAATCGAAACTTCCCCTAAACCTTTCTTTTTTTCCATAATAGAACAGTACTCTGTAAATTTCTAATGTTGGTGTAGTTACGTAACAACCGCGCGGCAAGAGTCTCTTTTAGGTTCGCCATTACTCAAATTAAGAATTGATGGCTACGATGCAAAGTTATTGAATTTATGAAGACTCGAAAAATGAATTGGATTTTATGTTCACTTTGCACAGAAAAATGCCCTCTTGACTCGAGTTCACCTTTACAATTTTTTTTCTACTGCTTTGAACGTTTTTAAATCTACTATATTCTGATGTACCAATTTCCTACTCTCGATTCAAATTAGCTCAAACGAGGCTGTTGGCAACTACGTGCAAAATGTATCAGCAATGGCGTCTGAAGTATTCTGTTTGGTTGTATTCCTACTGGTTTTGCTTCTCCAACCGTCAAAAGTTTGCTTTCAAACGAAAGGTAACAACGTTGATATATATCTAAATTCACATGCCTGTGTAGCATAATCATAATTACGCAGAATGATTGAATATACACAGACTCCTCTCCAAGCGAATGTTCACAAAGATTTATTCTTTTACGCAAGATATCGTTTAGCCACGCAAAGACTTTCTCTGCTTTTTGTTCTAATTCCTCTGCTTTTGAAAGTAGGTTTGGAATGTTATTTCATATATTGTTGTATGCTTTCCAATGCATAACCTTTACGTGTGCCATTTCTCCTGTGGAGACACACAGGATGTTGAGGCTCAAGCAGATCAATTATCGTTTGATGTCCCACTTTCTCAGTTTCTCTCCGAAACAAAGGAATGCTAAAGGTGTGGTTAGATGCAAATCAAAACGCTTCCATCGCTGCGATTCATTCTTTTTCTGAGGACACAAAACTATAATTTCTTTCCAGAAATATAATATGCGTGGGTTTTGTTGCACAGACCATACACAAGGTTATGGTAGAGATACGTTAATGGTTACGGGATGTCTGAGTTCTGAGACGGCAGTATCTTTACTGAAGGAGACCTCAGACAACGGTTGCCCGAATAGAACTGCCTTGTCTAACAATAGTGCAATTACTTGCTTGAGATTAAAATGCCAGCATATGAAAGAAAGTTGAAAGTGAACAAATGGTTTGAAACTGCAGTTCACTTCAAATAATTGCTTTTACAATCAACAACTCTAAATTATTCTCATTTGTATCAATGGCTCAAAACCAGCCAAAATAAGTCGCGTTTGAGCCTTTAATTATGGTGAACATTTTAGTTTCTGCACTTTCAATTACTTAGGGTCAATTCGGTCAGCTATATAAACATTTTACTTGGATATTCAATTAAAGATAATTCCTTGTTCGAAGGAGATTTTTCAGTTCATATTTCTTCTTTCAAAGAGAATATAAACTCATTTTCAATGTCAGTGTTTTAAAAGCACTACTTAATAATCGGCCAAATGTTGGTCACGGGAGGTGGCGGTGAACGAGACTCAATCAACTTCCTTTTAATTACGTAAATTGCAATAATTAGTCTACTTATCATCAACCTCGATCTTTATCAACTTGATGACTGTCAAGAATAATAAACTATAAACAAGTTCTAGCGTCAATCTATGGTTTAACGAGTTCCTCTAAGGAAGGTCAATTTATTG